CTGAGAGCCTTCCGCGAGGCTCCTACGAGGCCTGTGCGAGGCTCCAAGAAGCCTCTGCGAGGCTCCCAAGAGGCCTGCGCGAGGGTCCCATGAGGCCTCTGCAAGGCTCCAAAGAGGCCTCAGCGAGGCCCCCAAGAGGCCTCTGCGAGGATCCTAAGAGGCCTCTGCGAGGCTACCAGGAAGCCTCTCCGAGCCGAGGCTCCTAAGAGGCCACTGCGAGGCTCCTAAGATGCCTCTGCGAGGCTAGTAAGAGGCCTCTGCAAGGCTCCTCGGTTTCCTTGGGACTCCGCTTTGGTACCCGATTCACATAAGAATCGCTGACAAATCCGGTGTGAAAGATCCGAGTCAGTATCAGAGGTATGAGTACCTGTATGAACCCTGAATGTCGTAGTAGTAGTAGTAGTAGTAGTAGTAGTAGTAATAGTAGTAGTAGTAGTAGTAGTAGTAGTAGTAGCCGTAGTCGTCGTAGTAGTAGTAGTAGTAGTAGTAGTAGTAGTAGTAGTCGTAGTAGTAGTAGTAGTAGTAGTACTAGTACTAGTACTAGTACTAGTACTAGTACTAGTAGTAGTAGTAGCAGTAGCAGTAGTAGTAGTAGTAGTAGTAGTAGTAGTCGTAGTCGTAGTCGTAGTCGTAGTCATAGCCGTAGTAGTAGTAGTAGTAGTAGTAGTAGTAATAGACAAATTGAAATGGCAGTAGTACCTGTTGTAGTAGTAGTCGTGATAGTAGTCGTAGTAGTAGTCGTAGACGTAGTAGTAGTAGTAGTAGTAGTCGCAGTAGTAGTAGTAGTAGTAGTAGTAGTAGTAGCAGTAGCAGTAGTAGTAGCAGCAGTAGTAGTCGTAGTCAGTAGCTCGTAGTTCGTAGTTCGTCATTCGTACCAGTAGTAGTAGTAGTAGTAGTAGTAGTAGTAGTAGAAATAGCAGTAGTAGTAATAGAAGTAGTAGTAGCAGTAGCAGTAGTAGCAGTAGTAGTGGTAGTAGGTAGGTGGATAGGTAGGTCGGTCGGTAGATAGGTAGGTAGGTCGGTAGGTAGGTAGGTAGGTGGTAGTATTAAGAATAATAATAGTAGCATTAGTAGCCCTAGCACCAGCAGTAGTAGCTATAGTACTAGTACTAGTAGTAGTAATAGTAGAAATAGTAATAGCATTAAACAAAAATAGTAGTACTAGAAGTAGTAATACTAGTAGTAGTAGTAGTAGTCGTAGTAGTAGTAGTAGTAGTAGTAGTAGTAGTAATAAGAGTAAGAGTAAGAGTAAGAGTAAGAGTAGAGGTATTAATAGTGGTCGTGGTGGTAGTAGTAGTTGTAATAGTAGTAGTAGTAGTAGTAGTAGTAATAGTAGTAGTAGTAGTAGTAGTAGCAGTAGCAGTAAAAATAATAGTAGTCATTGTAGTAGTAGTAAAACGGAAATGAATTACTACGGCTACGACTACGACTACTACGGCCACTCCTACTACTACTACTACTACTACTACTACTACTACGACTACTACTACTACTACTACTACTACTACTACGACTACTACAACCGCTACTAATACTACTACTACTACTACTACGACTACTACTACTACTACTACTACTACTACTACTACTGAGACTACGACTCCTACGATCACTCTTCGCACTACTACGGCTACTGCTACTACTACTATTACTACTACTACTGTTACTACTACTACTGCTACTACTACTACGACTACTACTACTAGTACTACTACTGTTACGGCGGCTTCTTATACTACGACTACCACCACGACGCCGACTACCACTGCTGCTGCTATTACTACCACCGCCACCACCACTGCCACTTCTACGGTTACTACTTCTACTACGACTGAGACTACATCCACTTCTAATACCACTACTCCTACTAAGTATAAGATTCCTCCTACGGCTGCTGCTACTACTACTACTACTACTTCTGGTAATACTACTGTTACTACTACTACTACTACTTCTACTACTTCTTCTTCTACTACTACTACTACGGCGACTACTACTACGGCGACTACTACTACTACTACGACGACTACTACTACTACTACGCTAACTACTACTACTACTACTACTACTACTACTACTACTACTACGACTACTACTACTACTACTACTACTACTACTACTACTCTTACTACTCTTACCACTACTACTACTACTACTACTACTACTACTACTACTACTACTACTATACTGCTACTAATACTAATAATAGTAGTAATGATAATACTACGAATGATACTGCAACGACCACTACAACTACTACTACTGCTGCTACACTACTACTACTACTACTATTACTACTACACTACTACTACTACTACTACCACTACTACTACTACTACTAATACTACTACTACTTCTACTACTACGACTGCTACATCTGTCAATCCTACTACTACTACTACTACTACTACTACATTACTACTACTACTACTACTACTACTACTACTACTACTACTACGACTACGACTACGACTACTACTACGACTACTACTACTACTACTACTACTACTACTACTACTACTACTACTACTACTACTACTACTACTACTACTACTACTACTACTACTACTACTACTACTACGACTACGACTACGACTACTACTACTACTACTACTACTACTACTACTACTACGACGACGACGACGACGACGACGACGACGACGACTACGAATAATAATACTACTATTACTACGACTACGACGGCTAGTACTACTACGACTACTACGACCACTGCTACTGCTAGACTGCTACTAGTACTACGATGGCTAGTACCACGATTTCTACTACTACTACTATCACCACACTTTCCACTTCGATGAGCACTATACGAGTATCGCTACGATTACATTTACGACTACGACCACCACTGCCCCTAATATTACACTTACGACCGCTGCAAACTACGTCAATACCTGCTCATACTATGGCCGCTACTGCCGTGTCTGCTTCGAATGAGTGGGCTTGGTTTCGGGCTCGTGCTCGCATGCAACGCAAACAAATCCCGAGACACTTGAAATACATTAGGAGCCTAATAGGAGTACAATGGGAACGTAATGTGATTATAATATAGATAGTACATGATCAAATTCGGAACGAGGTACAATAGGAACACACAAGGGGTACAAGATACTAGAACAACAATGTAAGTTTTTTGGAACTGGAACACAACAGGGATACTACAGGAGTACCACATTGAGGAAACCTCAGGAATGCCGAGGAAGCTTGAGGAAGCTGCGCGCCAACTGGCTTCCGAACAAGATTCTCACAAGGTCGCCTCCGCGGTGGGCGCTTCGACGCTTGTCCCAAGAGTTCGCTGACATCCTGAAGGCGAAGCCACGAAGGGCCAGATTGGAGTCAAGTAGGAACACAATACGATTTCAACAGGAAGGCGTCGCATTGGGTTCCAATCGGATTTGAATAGGGTTCCGGTAAGATCCCGATATGAAGAGATCTGGATGGATCCCGATGGGATCGATCCAACGGGAACCCAGAACGGTGCCAATGGGAAAGAAACCCGATCGGATTCGATCAGGATTCCAATAGGATGCCCGTGGGATTTTGTTGGGGTTCCCATCGGATTACAATGAGATTACAATAGAACACCCCGAGAGCGCGACTTGGAAGGAATTCCATTGATGATTCGATTAGGGACAAAATGACGTAAGAACGGGAAGGGGATCCCGAGCACGACAGAGTCCGAATGGAATCCGTCATGTATTTGGAAGAGCTCGCTCCCCGGCAGCACTTCCTCGAACCTGTACAAAGGAGTAAGTGACCTCACGGAAGGCAACCCATGGAGGTTTCATGGCTCTTGGAATGTCGTTGGAATGCTGATGTGTGCAGCTCTCCCTAGAGGGGAACGAACCCTTCGCAGCTTGTCCACCCTCCACCGGGAGACCATTCCTTCCGTTGGAGTCCCGAAACGGTGCGGCGACACACCGTGCGGTGACCTCGAAATCCCCCAGGACCTCACCGCACGGTCCGTCACCGCACGGTTTCGGGACCTCGGATGCCCCTGTCGCGCGATCCGTCCTCGGAGAACGACCCGGGTCCCAAAACCGTGCGGTGACCCCAAATCCCCACCGACTCACCGCACGGTGTGGTCACCCGTTTGAGGACCCCCGACCTTTCACCGGGGAGCCAACCCTCTCACCGGGGAGCAATGCCCTCGCCCTTCACCTCACCCCTAACAGGGTATGTGTCGACCCCAATCCCAGCAGGCCTCGTGGGGTCTTCGAATGGATCAGAAATCTGGGGCCGAACCCTGAGATATACGATGGGGGGGCGTCCATCCTCGGCAGGGGTGCGTCCGAATAACCCCCTTGGGGTGTATCCCAAGGCTTCTCTCCCTTTCTGAGCGGCTTCATTTGTTCATCGAAACGCGGGGGGGGGGGGGGGAAAGAAAAATCACCTGCGACCCCCCATTGAGGCCGTCCCCCACTACCATTAGGTCGGGCGTGTCCTCCTACAGGCGGATTCTGGACGACAAATGCAAACATAGTCAAAACAACACCCATACATGATAAAAAAATAGAAACATCCTCTCCAGACTATGTTTTGTGGTCTTACTATTTTTGAATATTCGGGGATGGACACAAGCCTCTTTAGTAACACGCGGCTTCGTGAAAACGACTTCGGGCCCGAATCTGGCAGACCCAAGCCTGGAAAAGGACGGCCGCGGTGCCCTCTTGAGAACTGACAACGGACAACTCGCTGATCGAAGTCTCAGAGTGTGGGGGCTCTGCACACCCCCGAAGCATTCCTCCTGCAGAGTGGACGTGCCAGACTTCACACTACAGGCCAGTTGCTAATACACAGGATTTTAAACATATAGGATTTTTAGTACATGATTAACTTATGAATAGATTCACGCATGAACTCATCGTTGTTTTTACTACGACATCCCTGCATTTTTAAGACATGATCCGCACCCGGAGCATGCATTAAAAACGGCACTGTACCGCCCGCCCGAAGGGCGGTGGCTCTGCACAGCCCCCGGCCTCGACGGCAGGAGCAAAGCCTGCCCGCGCGCGGCGCGCCGGCGCCACGGGGCGGCCGCCGCCCTCGCGGCCGACCCCGGCGCTCCTCGGCGGCGGCCGGGCCGCTGCCGCGCAGCTCCGCGCCGCGGGCCTCTCGAGCCCGCGGCGGCGGCGCGCAGAACGTGGCGCGCGGCCGACGAGGGCCGACGGCGGCGGCGGCGAAGGCGAGCGCCGCCAGCGGAGTGGGCGACGACGGCGGCGCAAAGGATGCAGCGAGAATCTCTGGCTGCTCAGGCGGATGCCTCGGGCGCCGCGGCCTCCCCGGAGCGCTCGGGAGCGCTCCGAGAGCGTTCCGACATGCTCCAGGCAAGGTTCATCCTCGTCCTATAGAAAAAGGGCCCCAGGGACACACAAATGAATACACACAAATAACAGGATTCCCCCATATATTCCCATCTTTTCTGGGCCTTTGTCTTCCCCACCACTTCCCATATTTTCCTATATTTTCTTGGGAATCGACGATTAATTGTGTCTGTATGTTCTTGTCCTTCCTGATATAGCCCCGTCCGACGGCGACGGTGGGCGGCACGCAGAGGGCCTCGCGAGGTTGCGGGTTGCTGGAATCCGCTGGCTGGAGACGGCCGGCGGCCATTTCCGTTAGCGCTGGTCGGCGACGACGGCGGCGGCAGTCGACGGGCATGGGTGAGGGGGGAAGGGTTCTTGGAAGGAGGCCGCTTCTGAAAGGCGACGGCCCTTCCGTCGACAGACAGGGCCCGCGCCTTCTGAGGAACAGGGTGCTTCTAAGCAGCCTTCCCCCTCCCCCCCTACCCCACTCTGCGAGTGGCTGAGTTATGCTGCATCTCATGGGAGCCTCCCGTGCTATCTTGCTGGCTCTGTCGATTCAACGCCGACCGACGCTAGTCGACGCCAGTCGACGCTGATCGACGCTCATTCGACGCTGATCGACGCTAAAGGTGCGATTTCTCATCGATTACCAAACGCTAGCGCACGCGAATCGCTCCGACGAGATCTGGGCGTGCCAAATTTTTCACGCTGGGCCCCCTCGCCCGGCTCTTCGGGCCCCCGGACGCGCGCGGACCGCACGCCGCCAGGAGCGCATGGGGTCGGCGCCCTCCTCAGCAGCGCCGACGGAGGCCTTTCGGTGGTCGTGCCGCTCCCGCCGGCGGCCGCTGCTACTGCCCTGGAGGGCGCGTAGGCTGCGCTGGATCCGGCTGCGCGCGAGGTCCGGGCGGTGCCTCCTCTTCCCACCGAGCTCGGAGGTGGACAGAGCCGCCTTCCGCAAAACGCAACGCGGCGAGAGCTGCCAAGGGCACTCCTCCTGCCCGCAGCACCGCATTCCGAGGGGACCTGGGCGGAACGTAACAGCTAGTCGGCGTGCAAAGGCTACCAGTGTATCGGGCATAACACCGGTCGATTGGCGACACCGGCGGGGAACTACACTGGGATACTCCAGATTTCGTAATAAAAGGGAGGGGGTCTGGACCCTCCAAGACAAGCCATTTCAGACCTCCCCCGTGGGAGAACCCTCCAAAACATCGTCCCCACACCCCCCCAGGCCCTCCAAGATAGCCTGGAAGAGACCCCCCCCCGAAATGAGACCCCCCTCCCTTTACTACGAAATCTGGAGTACTCGAATGCCAATGTCGAGTGAGCCCGTGTGGAGTTCCTTGGTCGGCTTGTCCGGGGGGGCGTTCTCTGTCAGTGTCCGACAAGCACGTTCGGCCAGAGTCGGGCTCCCAGAGCATCACAGGTCGGTCCAGCTCGGAAAATGCAGCAGAGCGATGGGATCTAGGGATCTGGTCTTGATTTTTTACAGAACTGTTCGGCGCGAGAGGGAGAGGAGAGAGAGGAAGAACGGGAGAGGAGGGAGTGAGGAGGGGAGGCGGTGAGGGGAGGGGGAGAGCGAAAGCACTACGAATGGAGGTGAAAAAAGGATTGACAAAAGGTACAGCTACGGGACCGAGTGAGGAAGAGGGAGAGGGACGGGGCAACGGCGAGGCTCTGTAACTTACGTATGCGTATACAGATAGTATATATATATATTATTAATAAATATATGTATATATATATATATATATAGATGCACGTGTACATTTGTGTGACTGTGGCTAAATGGGCAAATCCATCATGCAAGGAGTCGGGACACGGAGCGGAACAATGATCGGCGTCGGGAAGCGATCCCGAAACAATACTTCGGTGATAGCTACGGACAGGAATCGAGACGGGAGTAAAAACTGGCGCTTTGAAAGGAACAATCATACAAAGATGACTAGAAAAAAGAATTGCAATCAAACATGGGCGAAAAAGATAATCACAAAGACAACTACCAAGGAGTGGGATAGGACTGCATGGGACAGCAAGTAGGAACATTGAAACGGTCGGCACCACGATTCCGACACGCAGATCTATCGATAAGAAGGGGGTTACGCGTATGACTTCGACGATGAGAAGGAGTTCGACAATGAGTGGCAAGAGTAATAGGAGGATAGCATGAGGCGACGGTGAAATCAGGGAGCTGAAAGAAGTTGGAGGAGGAACATACGGAGGTGAGCGCAAGAGGAGCAGGAGGAGGAGAGAAAGAAAGGAGGGGACAGATGGAGGAGCAACAGCAGGATGAGGAAGAAAGGTAGGAGGAGGCGGGATTTATTTCGCTGGAGTGTCGCATGGCGGACCCCGGAGGCACAAAGGTGCAGTCAGTTAGCAGTGCCCAAGGGCTTGCGGGCGGTCAGCTGGGCGGCTCGTTAAGCAGCGCACTGAAGAGTGACCAGTCAGCCAAATGTGGTGCTGGCCTTAACACTCTTCCCGCCACTCTTGCCGCCGTTGATCGAGGCTGCCAGGCTTGACATCCAATTATCTTTCTTCGACGCATCGGCTTGATCCGCGTGGCCGAAGGCCTCGACGAACGTTTCTGGAAAGACTTCCAGCGCAAACTCGGCCGCGTCCAGCGCGCCGCTGTCGTCCTTGTCCATGTGCTCAAATAGAGCGATGACCCGGTCCTCGGAGAGACCAATCTTCATCGCTTTCACCAGCTCGCAGAACTCGTCGAGTTCGAGTACGCCATTTTCGTCATAGTCCACGATCTTGAACAGCGTCGGGATGTCATGAGCTGTGTAGCCCCACTGGTGCAGCTTCGCCCGCGTTTTCGATAGCAACAACGAATAGTCCCTCGAGTTCCAAACCATGTTGAACGTGTTCCCAATGATACCGATCGGCACGGCCATCAGTATGACCCCCAGAATGATCAAGATCATCACTATGGTGATCCCCGCTGTCGTCTCGGGTGAGTAGTCGCCGTAACCAACAGTCGTGACCGTCACAAGACAGAACCAGACCGCCCGGAAGGGCGACTCGAAGAGCTCTGGCTCCACGAGGTATATGAGGGTGGCAAAAGTCATTGTGATCAAGGCCACGGCGTACAGGAGCATCGGCAGGGCCTCCATCGTGATCTTGACCGCCTGGATGAGGACGTTGAAAGTTTCAAAGTGTCTCAGGATCTTCAACAACCGAATAATCGGCACGAAACATAACAAGAATATCGCAACCCAATCGTCCTGGCTTGGTCTGAGCACGAAGCCAACCGCTGCCCGCACTGCGATCGCACTCGCGGCTACGATATCGATCCACGTTTGGGGCATGAAGACGAAGTTCACCCTGTTCGGCGCGCAGGCCCAGCGAATGCAAACTTCTGTCAGAAACACAACATCGAACGCTGTCTCGAAGACGGCAGCCGAACTCCCATACAAGAACGGGTCCTCCACCGTCTGCATCAAAGTGCCCAGCACGCTGAGGAGCACGAGCGCCTGCAGGCAGAAGGCAGTCCACCAAGCCACCCTGCTGGACTGAGGGTCGTCTAACACCGTGAAGACGTAATCAACGACCTTGTAACGGGTCTTCCTCATGGCCTTTGGAAGCGACTCAATACGTTTCTGCACATGCGAAACGTCCTTGCTGTCGGACTTCTCGTACATCCTCCTGGCCAAGAACTGGTTCTTGAACATGGTAGGAACCGTGGGGGTCCTCGAATAGCCAGAACAAGAACTTCGCCCCGAGGCCCTCGCCGACGCCCCCTTCCCAGGCCTCTTGTTCAGATTGGGGATGAGCGCGCCACCGTGCCCTGACATCTGGTGGGTCACCTTGGGTGGAGGCAGACAAAGAGCTTGGCAGCAGCTCTGAGAGAAATTGGGCTCGTGATTGGAATAAGGAAATACGAAGGGGCCCTGGGACACACAAACAAATACACACACATAAAAAGATTCCCCGTATTTTCCTATATTTTCTGGGTGTATGTCTTCCCCCCACTTCCCATATTCTCACATATTTTCTGGGGGATCGACGATTCATTGTGTCTGTGTGTTTTTTCCCCTCCTGAAAATAAGGGTCAGAGAGAAACGTTCTGCGGCAACTATGGGGGCCTACCATACTGTCTTGTTGGCCCTGGCGCATCGACCCGAATAAACGCCAAATCGACGCTGACCTACGCCAGTCGACCCTTATCGACGCTGAATCGGCGCTGTTTCATCGAATGCTAGACGCAAGTCGGCGCCAGCGCATTCCCACAACGCGCACAAAGCCCCATGTGACTCTCGACCGAAAGAAACTCTCTCTTTTTTTCACGGCAACTCAAGCAGCCGGCAGGTGAACGAATGCATGCGCCGCCTGAGACGTGCCACAACCCGTTCCGCACAAACGGAACCAACACGGCGGCGGCAGCTGCGGATTACCCTACAGCGCCTGCGCCACCCACTTCGAACTCGAGCGCCTCAGGGGGGAAGAGGAAACGAAAAGAGAGAAAGAGAGAGAGAGGAGGAGGCAGAGGAGAAAAGCCAGCGGGCACTAGTAACCTGAAACTCGTGCGTGCGTAGACCAGACTCCAAGGACTGTGCCGAAGAGGGTACTCGCACTGGGGACCCACACGAGCGGAAAGCTGAAGAGCCTGAGCAAAGCCTCATACCTAGGCAGAGGAGCTACGCAGCGTGTGCGAGCGAACGATGCTACAAGCAGGTTGAGACTTCCAATGCGACCAAACATTTGGGGGAAAAGGGAGAGAGGAGCGACGAGCCAACGGGGGAGGGAGCGAGGAAAGAAGGGGAGGAGGAACTGCGCCAGCCCGATGAGGCAGCAGCTCGAGCCCGCAAGGGGGCCACGCCGCAGAGTTCCAGGCCGGGCGGAGCGACACGCCCGGCGAGCACCCTCGGCGGGACCGCCGGCGCCGCCCGCGCAGGAGCTGGGAGAGGGGGCCCGGGGGAGACGGGTCCCAGGCCCCACGGGTGTTGCCTCGCGCCAGCTCTTTGCTGTCATGGGCCACGTGTGACCGTCTTCCTCCTCCTCCTCCTCCTCCTCCTCCTCCTCCTCCTCCTCCTCCCTCCTCCTCCTCCTCCTCCTCCCTCCCTCCCTCCCTCCCTCCCTCCTCCCTCCCTCCCTCCCCTCCCTCCCTCCTCCTCCTCCTCCTCCTCCTCCTCCTCCTCTCTCCCTCCTCCTCCCCCTCCTCCTCTCCTCCTCCTCCTCCTCCTCCTCCTCCTCCTTCCTCCTCCTCCTCCTCCTCCTCCTCCTCCTCCTCCTCCTCCTCACGTGTGACCGTCCGCCCCAGGGGTAGAGGGAGGGAGGGCCACAGGAGCCCCCAGATCGCAAAACAGAGCAGACGGTTCAGCAACGTTCAGCGATCCTGTCTCCCAGCCCTCCTGTGTGTGGCTCTCGTGTTGACTCGGGCACTGCTTGCTCTAAGTCCTCTCCTCCCCATTCTCATCGCATCAGTCTTCCTCCTGCATGTTGCTGTGTTCCCACCCCTGCTGTGTGGGGATCTGGTTTTGACAGGAGCGCGGCTCGCGCGTCCCCTTCCATCATTCACTCATCCCCTCCCTTCCTCACGCACCCTCCCTACTGCTGCCTCTTCCTCTGCGCCTCCATCGTGCTAGATTATGTCTGCTGCCTTTCCGACTGCAGGTGCTGCCACCTGCGCAGCTGTCGCCACTTTCGTGGGCTCCTGGTAGGCCCAGCATAGAGGGGACACGGACATCGTGCCTCCGTGGGGCTGCTGCCACCTGCGCAACCGTCACCCCTTCCGTGGGCGCCTGGGAGGCCCAGCGCAGCAAGGACAGGCGCGCATCCAGGCTAGACCTGCGCAGCCGTCGCCACGTTCGTGGGCTCCTGGGAGGCCCAGCATCGGGGGGACATACGCGCACCCAGACTAGGCCTCGCGGACCCCGTGGGGGCGTTGCCGCCTGCGCGATTGTTGCCACTGTCGTTGGCGCCAGAGGTTCTCCCCATTGCTTCCCAATCCTCCTCGTCCTCCTCCCCCCTTCTGCCTCCCCTACACTTCTGTCCCCTGTTCGATGTCCCTTGACGTGCTTGTCGTCAGCGTCCTGCTTGCGATCTGAGCTGCGCAGGTGTGCGACGAGCGTGGTCCGACGTTGGCCCCCGAAGCAGTTCAGGGTGCTCCATGCAACGCAGTGTGTTCTTCTGTCTGGAGCGTTAATTCTGCCAGTCCCATCGCATGGGGACGGGGCCAGGTACGTCTCGGGCAGAGTTGGGTTCTCGTTTCGAAGAGAGCTGTGCTTGCTCCAACCTTTGCTCCTCCTCCTCCTCATCCTCCTTCACTTCCTCCTCCTCCTCCTCCTCCTCCTCATCTCCTCCTCATCCTCCTCATCCTCCTCATCCTCATCCTCATCCTCATCCTCCTCATCCTCCTCATCCTCCTCATCCTCCTCATCCTCCTCATCCTCCTCATCCTCATCCTCCTCATCCTCCTCATCCTCCTCATCCTCCCTCCTCATCCTCCTCATCCTCCTCTTCCTCATCCTCATCCTCCTCATCCTCATCCTCATCCTCATCCATCCTCATCCTCATCCTCATCCTCATCCTCATCCTCATCCTCATCCTCATCCTCATCCTCATCCTCATCCTCATCCTCATCATCAGCATCAGCATCAGCATCAGCATCAGCATCATCATCATCATCATCATCATCATCATCATCATCATCATCATCATCATCATCATCATCATCATCATCATCATCATCATCCTGCCTACGGCTGCTTCCTGGCTTGATGCCTACTACTGCATACGTGCTGCATGCCTCGCGGCTCCCTGTGCGTGCTGCTAACGGCGAAACTGTCGCCACTTCCGTGGACTCCTCGGAGCCCCAGCGCACGGGGGGGGTGCCCGCACCCAGACCAGACCTCGTGGCTCCGCGGGGGTGCTGCCACCTGCGCAACGGTCGCCCCTTCCGTGGGCTCCGGGAGGCCCAGCGCAGCAGGGACATACGCGCACGCAGACTAGACCTCGCGGCCCCGTGGGAGTCCAAACACCTGCGCAAACGGTCGCCGCATGACGTGGGCTCCCGGGCGGCCCAGCGCAGTGGAATACGCGCAGACTTCGCGGCTCCGTAGGGGCGCTGCCACCTGCAAACCGGTCGCCACTTTCGTTGGCTCCTGGGAGGCCCAGCGCAGTTGGGACATAGACATACGTGCACCCAGACCAAAATTCGCGGCTCCGTGGGGGCGCTGCCACCTGCAAACCGGTCGCCCCTTGCGTGGGTTCCTGGGGAACCGAGCGCAATGGTGTCATATCACTACTGTGCTGACAGAGTATCAGGGAACTGCATCCTTCGACTATCTCCCGTGGAACGCGTAAGACCTCCAAGTAGCTTTCAGGACAAATCCCATTCCTGGTCACGCGGCCATATGGGTTAGGCACGTCGTACGGTAAATTCCTGGCGAAACCAAGAGTCGGAGAAGGAGGAGGGGCTGACCGGCATGCTCGCTGTCGCCAACCTGTCGACGGAATCCTGCGAGACCAGCCGTCCAGGAAGGTCGGCCGAGATGTCGTTGGAACCAGGGCCAGCAGGCGCCTGCGAACTCAACACCGGCGGGGGCTCCATGGGGGCCAGCTGGCCTGATCGAGAGGAGGAACAGTAGGAGCAGCAGCAGCAGCAGCCCATCTTCCTCCCTGGGGCCCCCTTCCTCCTGCGCCATCCACCCCTTCCGTTTGCAGGCAGCTAAACTCAGAGCCGACGCCGGCGGAGGAGCAGGAGGAGGAGGAGGAGGAGGAGGAGGAGGAGGACGAGGAGGAGGAGAAGCAGTCGGAGGAGGAGCAGCAGGAGCAGAAGGAGGAGGAGGAGGAGGGGGGAGGAGGAGGAGGAGGAGGAGAGGAGAGGAGGAGGAGGAGGAGGAGGGAGGAGGAGGAGGAGAGGAGAGGAGGAGGGGAGGAGGAGGAAGAGGAGCAGAGGAGGGGAGGAGGGGAGGAGGATGAGGAGGAGGAGGAGGAGGAGGAGTAGGAGGAGGAGGAGGAGGAGGAGGAGGAGGAAGGGAGGAGGAGGAGGAGAAGGAGGAGGGGGAGGAGGAGGAGGGGGAGGAGGACAAGCTAGGTGCGCTCGGGGCATATCTGACATTGACATTGACCCTTAGCATGGCGTAGATCCCCTCTCTACTCGCGCAGTCGGATGTCGAGCAGGGCACTGATCCCGAAAGGGTACGCGATGCATTGTAGAGCACGGCGTGGCATGGCGTAGAAGAGCACCGCAAAGCGTAGTATCAACCCAGCATTGCATTGCATGCCGTGGCATGGCACGGAAAATGACGCCAGCGCTGCAGCGGGAGCACAATTCGGAACGAGCGGAAGCACGGAAATGAGGTCAGCGCTGCAGCGGGAGCACGACTCGGAACGAGCGGGGCCCGAAAATGAGGCCGGCGCCTCAGCGAGAGCAGCATTTTGAAAAACATGCAAGCGAAAACCCAACTCCGGGGAAACCTGTGTGCAAAAAACAATACTCGGGGTGGGTCGAGCACTTTCAAATCGTCATCAGGGGAAGTGGGAGAGTAGTATTCATATTAAGTAATTGTGGAGGAGTAGGAGGAGGAGGAGGAGGAGGAGGAGGAGGAGGAGGAGGAGGAGGAGGAGGAGGAGGAGCAGGAGGAGGAGCAGGAGGAGGAGACGCAGGAGTAGGAGAAGCAGGAGCAGAGCAGAGGAGGATGATGATGATGAGGAGGAGGAGGAGGAGGAGGAGGACCAGGAGGAGGAGAAGCAGGAGGAGGAGAAGCAGTAAGACAGAGGAGGAGGAGGCAGAGGAGAAGCAGGAGGAGGAGAAAGAGGAGGAGGAGGAGGAGGAGGAGGAGGAGGAGGAGGACCAGGAGGAGGAGAAGCAGGAGGGGGAGAAGCAGTAAGACAGAGGAGGAGGAGGCAGAGGAGGAGCAGGAGGAGGAGAAAGAGCAGGAGCAGGGGAGGAAGAGGAGGAGGAGCAGGAGCAGGAGCGGCAGGAGGAGCACGGCGAGTTGGCACAGCGGCATCTAAAAAAAAAGTCGGCTCCGGGCCCGTCTGGGGCCCACACGCGCACCAGTGTGTTGCCGAGCCGCGCCCGGCCGTGGCACCGAGGGGTCTCCCCCCGAAGGCCTATTGCACGCACGTCCAATGCGAAGAAACTCATGATGCCAGAAATCATACACCCTGCGAAATGCTCATGGGTTAAGAAATTCATAGTCTCAGAATTTGAATAAAAACCCAGAATGTCGATTGAAATCTTAGGGTTTACATTGAAACGTTAAGAATAATCGAGACTCTGGCCGAAAACTTAAGTTTTCTTAAGCATCGCCTAAGGTGTACTCGGCGGCGAGCGAACGTGGTAATTACAGAAAGAGGTCGCCATGGAGGAAGCGGGTCTTGAGTCGGCGGCGGACGAGGGTGGGAAGCGAGAGGGAGAGGGCATGCTCAGAAGGCGTCGGGGCTTCTCCGAAGCGCCCGCGCGTTCTGAGAAATCTGTTGTGTGTGCCTTCGGGGAAGGCTTGGCCAACTTCGCAGAAGGTCAGGGGGCCTCCGAGCCTTCTGAGAAGGCCTTCTTCTTCTCACTTCCCCCCAGGGCTCGCTGCCGATATACAGCTGGTCGGGGGAGAAAGTGGCCGCTGAATTCCTCCGCCGTGTCTTGCAATGTCCTGACCTTCCCGTGGCAACCCGCGGACTTTCGAGGCATGGAACAAGACACAGGGCGCGTAAGTTGTTGCATACACCTGCCATGCCAAACCAGGTCGCGCCAGAAGAAAACAGCAGGGCTAGAACGAAAAACTGCATTCTTGTTGACCGCCGTAGATTTACCGTTGCCGCAACTCGCCCTCCTCTGAGATTCACGGAGCACGTCGCGCCTCCTCCTGCCACGGTGCGGAGAGTCTCGATCCTGTCGAAGTCCGCGCAAGGGAAGGAGCTGAGGGGGGAGCCGTCGGCGTTGGAGCTGGGGCGGACGTCTGCGATGCTCAGGACCTTGATGCGGAAAAGGAGGCAACTTACACGAGTGGCGAGCAGATGAATACCCACGCCGTCGCGGTCTGGATTCCGGGGCGGGATCCCGCGGATGCGCAGTCGCACGGATGCGTTCCGCGCGGGGCATCCGAGAAAAAACACTGCGTATGTGCGTAATCGCGGCCCAGTGGCTGGTACGCGAGGCCGCGGCCATGGATGTGTCTTTCGCCCACCAGCATAGCGAGCTCGATGAGTGGGCCACTGAGCTGGAAAAGGCTGGATTACGCCCAGCACTAAGCCAAATCAGACTGGATTGAGCGGGATCAAGCCGGACTGAGCGGGACTAGACCAGGTTATCTGAGTTTGACCAGGGATATACCAGTGCCGACTCTGAAATCGGCATCCCAGGAGTTGCATCCTCACGTTGGGAAGAGCAGAAGAAGGGAGAGGACGACGACGACGACGACGGCGAGAGCGGTGAGCAGGGCGATGAGGAGAAGGGAGCAGCAGACATTGGGGAGGAGAGCGAGGGAAGCTCCTGACCCGGACGCGAGCGACGAGCCAGTCGAGCTTGCCGTCCATCCTCTCCAGGCGCCGGGAGAGCTCCCCACCGAACTCCAGGCCCGGGTCCACGTCGCCGGACACCCCGCGGAGGAACGCGCCCGCGCCGACGCTGCCGGACCCTGCCTTTGGGCGCCCAGCACGGGCACGAAAGAGGGGTGCAATGCCCAATCACGTGTCCAAAACCAGCATCAGGTCGGGCATGTCTCCCTATAAGGGGGGATTCTGGAGGAAAACTGAAGAATGGTAGCAAATGCTAGGAAAGGGCTCAAACGTACCAAACAAGCTCGCCCCCAGACTATTTTTGACTGTTTTTGAATATTCCTCCTGTAGAGGGACACGCCAGACTTGAAACCAGCAGCGGCTGCTGTTGGGCAGGCGGCCTTCTGTCTCAAGTGGATAACCCCCGCGGCGACACCGACAGCAAGTACTGTTCAACATTATCAGAAAGAATGATGTCGGTCGTTGTGCCCATTCTTTCGTACCATGGGGGAACGGGTCCTCAGGGAAACGGGTCCTTGATCATGGGGCCTTCCCCCAAGACCACTTCGTCATCCTGACTCGCTTTGTGACGGTCCCAAGGCCCGTGGAGAGCCTCGAAAGCCCGAAAACGGCGAAAGACCTCAGGACCCATTTACCTCAGGACCCGTTTCTCGGCGGCGAGTGAGGGTGGGCAAGTGAGAAGGGGCGGGCCTTCTCAGAAGGCTCGGAAGTCCCCTGGCAGTCTGAGATAGGGGGCAAACGAACATACCTCGCTTTTGACCTCCCTCGCTTCCAAGAGATACCAAGCGATGCCAAACTACGGCCTGCACTGGTCAGGCCGCTTGACGAGGAGGCGCGTGGTATGACGTGGTTTTGCCTGGAAGCGAAAGCGGGGCAGGTAACTCACGCTCTGAGACGAGAAGTCCCCCCTATGCCTTCCCCGAGGAGGCAGCACACCTCTCGGAAGGCCAGCGGGCTTCTGAAGAGCACCGTCGCCTTCTGAGAAGGCCTCCTCCTCCTCACTTCCCCCCCTCGCTCGCCGCCGACTCGGGACCCGCTTCTTCTTTCTGTACCCCTTTCGGCCGCCCCAGCCGCCGGGCCCACGGTGCACTTCGTGCCCGCGGCCCTCACGAAGCCACCGCAGGGCAAGGGCGGGGGAGGAGAGGCAGCGGCCGGCGGCGGCGGAAAATCTGGCCTCTCCTGACCAGCTTCGAGCCCATCCCTACCCTGGGAAGGCACCAACTATACACCAACACCGATCCTGGCCCAGGGTCACCCTGGGCCCAGGATCGGTGTATACGCCCTCCTGCCTTGCGCAAGAAGGCACATACACCGATCCTGGGCCCAGGGTGATCCTGGGCCAGGATCGGTGTTGGTGTATAGTCAGTTGGTGCCCTCCGATACCCCTAAGATCGGCAAGCCAGAGGCGCTGATTGGGGGGGGACGACAGGGCAGGATAGCAAAGGGCAGAGCAGAACATCGGCTCACGTAGCTGGCTTTCCCGGCGCCGTCTCGGCGCCTGGAGGCGCCCGTGCATCGAGGAGAGGTGGCGGGCGCCGGGGCGGAAACCTGCTGCATGCAGCAGATGTCGCATCCCCCCTTTGCCAAACCTACCCCTTCGTCTGGCCCGAGATGGCAATTTTGGGGATAGGCCCTCAGAAACTGAAGGAAGCCCTGAGACCGGCACCGCGGCAAGGCGATGCCAAATACATGGACGGGGATATGACTCAAGCTGGCAATCTATGACTACCTACCAGACCACCACAACCCAACCCGAAGACCCGAATTTCGGGTTGGGGAGGGTACGGGCTTCACATGTGTTTTCAATGTTCCACGATCACCCCCCCACTGGAAATCGAGGGCAAATCGGGCCTTCAGGTTGGGTTGGAGTGGTTTGGTGGGCGGTGAATCTCCTCGTCCCCCTCGAAGTCGATGATGTTGATGCTCGCCGTTCCAGCCTCCGCCAAGCCCAGGTCGACGGTGCCCATGCGCCGAAGACGACCTCCCAGTCCTGGGCGCAGGCGGGGAAGCAGGGCCCATGCTCCGGACCCGCCGTGCTCTGGGCGATCTCGTCGGTGGGGCGGGAACCTCCGCCCCGAGTTCCCCAAAAGCGCCTCTGCTGTCGGTGTCCGCCCTACTCTGCCGCCGCTGCCTCCGCCATGCGTTTGCGGAAAGCTCCGCCCGGCTTTTCTGAGGCGGGCATTTCCGCCCTGCTCTGTCGCATCGTTCTGGGTTCGTGCCTGGCACAGGTTCACATTCGAACATCCACCAGAAGACGGCGGGCCCGAAGTCTGGGAACGGAACCGATACCGCTACTCCCCAGACTCGGGGGCGTCCAAGAGGATGGCGTCCAAGAGGGGGGGGGGGGGGCGCAATTCATGGCCGCCGCCGGCATGTGCGCGGCCCAGGGGGGAGGCTGGGGACGCAATGAAATAAGAAGAGAAGAGGCGCCATGAACTCTGGGGAGATGTCGTGGCCCCCCGCCATGATATCCCCCCCCCTAGTCATCACCTCCCCTTGGCCGCCCCCGCCAGGCCTCTCCTGGGGCGCACCCCGACCAGAACTCCTCGAGGAGGACCCCGTCGTGGCGACGAGGGCCCTCCAATCTGGACGCTCCTCCTCCTCCTCCTCCTCCTCCTCCTCCCTCCTCCTCCTCCTCCTCCTCCTCCTCCTCCCGAAATAGGCACGGAAAGGATAGGCACAATGCCCAACAGCAGTTCATGCTCATTTTGAACAGGGCTCGCCGTCGGTGTCGCCGCGGTCTGTGCCCATTCGAGACAGAGGGCCGCCTGCCCAACAGCGGCCGTTGTTGGTTTGGGACAGCATTCTTTCCGTACCCATTCCGGGCGTCCAAATCCAACAACGAGCAGCTCTTCCCCCAGCCGAGAAGGCCCCCCCCCCCCCGGCCTTGGTGCAGGGGCTCCGCCCGGGGTGCGCTCGGCGAGGAGCGGGGCGCCCCGGAAAAGCGCTGGGGCCACAGTTGGAGGCTCGACAGTGGGCACCAACACCAGCTCAGGGAGCTGCCTCTACCCAGAGGAAGATGATCTCGCTATCGCTCGGACGTCCTCTTTCCGTGCACGTGTTCGATGTCGTTCGCGTTTCTTGTGCTCGATGAGCCAGGATGCTCCTCGATGGCCCTCGCCGAAAGAGGATGCACACGTCCGAGCGACGCCAAGATCCTAGACGCTGATGCTAGTGGTACTGCTTTGGCCACCTAGGCGGCCCGGATACTATGGGCAAATGTTCCACCACCACTACCACATGTAGTACGGGGGAGAAGGGAGGATGAGGTCCTCCACCTCCTCCTCCTCCTCCTCCTCCTCCTCCTCCTCCTCCTCCTCCTCCTCCTCCTCCTCCTCCCACCTGTGGCAGTGGTGGCGGAGCATGGGCCCGCCAGGTAATTACCGCCACCGTCGCCCGAGGCCGGGCCCGCCGCCCCTCGGTGGAGGCGCCCCGCCGAGAAGGGGTGTTGGTGCCAACCTCCTGGATCGGCCCCCTCCTGGATCGGCGGCGCCGCAGCGGGGGGGGGGGCGCGCCACGGCCACGAGCCGCCCTGCCGCGGGTCGGGCCTCGGGCCTCGGGCGGCAGCGCGTGCGTTTGGGGGGGCGGCGCGAGGCGCGGCGGGGCGGAGGCCGCGACGGGGAGAGGACAGGCGCGCGGCCGCATCGGGCCCTGCCTCTGGTAGAAAGAAAGAGGGAGGGAGAGGAAGAGAGAGGGAGGGATTCTATACATATATATATATATATATATATATATATGTATGTGTATGTATACACATAGAGAAAGAGAGAGAGAGAGAGCACATACAAACAAGCCACAGGCACACATACACACAATACAAGCAAGCAGTACATCAAGCAAGCAGGCAAGCAAGCAATACCAACAACAACAACAGCAGCAGCAGCAACAGCAACGACAACACCAACCACTGACACAACAACAGCAACAGCAGCAACAACAACAACAGCAACTCCACCCCCAACAACAACAACAACAACAAGAACAACAACAACAACAACAACAACAACAACAACAATAACAACAACAACAGCAACATCAACAACGACAACAACACCACCAGCAACAATTAAGGCAACCACAACAACCACAACAACCACAGCAACAACTACATCAGCTACAACAACAACAACAACAACACCAACACCAACAACAACAACAACAAACAACCAACATGTGAAGACTGCTCGCCCTCGTACGCTCACGTGCCACTCAGCATGTCGCCCACACGCTCGATACCCGCCGTCTTCGTCTTTGTTAGTACCCCTTTGGAGGAAACATCTTCCATCCCTGCCACATGTGGTTGGCGCCCTTGAAACAGGATGAGCAGGCATAATGGCAAAGGGATAGGGCGAGGAGGAAGGAGTGGAGGAAGGGAGGGAGGAGGGAAGGGGGCAAATGGGGCGAGGGAGAAGATGGAGGACGGGAGGGATTAGCAACAGGGAGTCGCAAGAGGGGATGGCAGGGAAGTCTCAGGCGAGAGCGCGGTTCCTGAGCAGATTCTGACATCATGAGGTCCCGAGCGAGAGCGCGATTCCAGAGTGCCGAGGCAGCGATTCGGTTATCACTTGTCAGGGCGCTGTTTTGCGAGAGCACGATTCCAGGCTTGATTCTCCACAAGCCCCTCAGGGCGTGAATGGCTTAGAGCGCTGCCTCTTCCATCGCCCCTCTTCCCTTTCGAGGAAGGGTTTGGCTTTCCCCTCGCCCTGCCGCCTCCCCCCTGGGTCTGGAGGACGGGGGGTCGCGACCCATTGGAGCGTCCACGACGGCCTCAGCGAGCAGGTGCAAATCGCATTTCTTACATAGGTGTTGGGCACAGTCTGGCCTCTGGTAGGGGGGGGGGCTCTAATTGATTACCTCCCCCCCTGTCTTCGATCGATCTCCTACAAGATGGCCCCCAAGATGGCCTCCGAGGCTCCCAAGCGTGCCCGAAGATGGTACCAAGAACCCCCTGGCGATGTTGCTTGCCGTCCTCCGCTTCATCTTCATCCTCCTCCTCCTGCTACTCCTTCTCATCACCCTTAATTCCTCCTCGTTCCTCCTCCGTCCTCCCCCCCTTTCACTCCTCCTCCGCCTCTTCCGCCTCCTCCTCCATCCTCCTCTTGGCGTGCGACGGTTTCCCCAACCCCTTATTCCACTGTATGCGGCTCCAGATCCCTGATCAGAGCGTCTCGCCTGAGCATCGTTTTTGGATGGGCTGGTGGGTTACGCGAAGCGTCTACACTTGCCAGGATGTCTCGAGCGCAAATCCGGTTTCTCAATACATTGCGAGAAATTGCGGGAGCCGTTGTTGTAACTGTGGGCCAGGGGCGCAATTTGAGGCGGAGAAAACTGTTTTGTAAAAAACAGGTTGCGAGACCGGGAGGAACACTTCGGGTGAACACACACAGTGGGCACCGGAGAGGAAAACACAATACGCATCCTTCAGCAATGGGAATTCCAAAACAAGAACCAGTTAAGGCTGTTCGCGTTCACATGCTCGCGTGTCATCCAACATGTGTATCGTATATCCCAAACCCCCGATGCCCACCATCCTCGTCTTCGATCGTACCCCCCTTGGGGACATGTCTTCCTTACCTGCCACGTGTAGTTGGCCCACCCCATAAAAGAGGGGATGGAGTGAGGAGGCAAGGGACAAGGGGGAGGACGGAGAGTGGAGCACGAGAGAGATTAGCAGGAGAGGAGTTAGGAGAAGGCAAATAAGCGGCAGAACCAGACGGGCGGATCGAACGGGCGGACCCTAAGCGGCGGATCGGGCGGGCGGGCCCAGACGGCCAGGTCGAGCGGGCGGGTCGCTGAAGGGTCAGTCCTGCACGACTCGCGAAGACGTCTCGAGCGATAGCGCGATACGCAAGTAAATCGTGGGGAAGTCCAGAGCGGGAGCAGGATTCCTGAGTGTCGAGGGCGCGCCTTCTTAATCTGTTGGGAGGACGTCCCACGCAAGAGTAGGATTCCCGCATACATTGCGGGGGAGTCCTGCACGAGCGAGCGGTGTGGAATGACTTGAGATGTGATGGAGGATCAAGTGGGAGCCGTGGTTGTTCCCACAACACATTCTGAGGAACAAGACCTCCCCATGTAGAAAACAGCCAGGTTCGAGGCCGGGGATGGGCACTTCAGTTGAAAAACACAATGGGCACAGGAGAGAGGGAACCAACAATAAGTAAACTTTGGGAACGAGAACTCATAACACTATAATTGTTATACTGCTCGTTTTCATCTGCTCGCGAGTCACAGCATATATATATATATATATATATATCGAAGCATCGATACCCGACCGCTTCGTCTTCGATCGCACCTCCCTTGGGGGTACATCTTCCTTACCCGCCACGTGTAGTTGGCGCAACCCAGGGAAGGGGCAAGGGCGAGGGAGAAGGATGGAGCACGAGAGGGAGATTTGCATGAGGGGGACTCGGAGCAGGCAAACAAGCGGCAGAACCAAACGGGCGGGTCGGGCGGGCGGGCCCTGACGGGCGGATCGGGCGGGCGGGCCAAGACGGCCGGGTCGAGCAAGCGGGTCGTTCAGGCGTCAGCCTAACATGAGTCGCGACGAAGTCTCTAGCGATAGAACGACCTTCAAGTGAATCGTGAGGAAGTCCAGAGCGGGAGCACGATTCCTGAGTGTGGAAGGCGCGGCGCCTCGAGAAAATTCAAGGGAGTTACACACGGGAGCGCGCTTCCTGGATATGTTGTGAGGATGGCTCGCGCGAGAACGCGATTCTGAACAGACTGTCAGGAAGTATCAGGCGGGAGCCGTGTTGTTGTAGCTCGGCGCCCAAGGCAAAATCTGAGCCCCAAGATCTTCTCTTTTGGAAAAGACGGTGCGAACCCAGGGAGGAGCACTTCAATTGAAAAACAGAATGGGCACCAGAGGGGGGATCAACAGTAATTACTCCATGGAAATCAGGCTGGGACTGTTTGCTCTTTGTTGATCGCAAGTCGCTCAACATGTGTACACCAAACCCTCGACACCCGCCCTCTGCCGCTTCGATCGTGCCTCCATTGGGGGTGCACCTTCCTTCCCTGCCACGTGTAGTTGAAGACTGTTCGCTCGCACTCACGTGCCAATCAGCATGTGTCTCCCACACCCTCGATCTGGCCATCGCTCGGACTTACATTCCCTGTGTTTTTTTTTCGGTTTCGTGCGTGTTTTTTTTTCCGCCAACTGATCAAGGATGCTCCTCAATGGTCCTCGCCGAAGGAAAAATGCACACGTCCGAGCGATGCCAAGCGATACTCGCCCTCTTCGAATTCGACCCGCCTTGGGGGTAGACATCGCCTGCCACGTGTGGCTGGCGCGGCCTCCAAAACCTGGTGGGCGAGGAGGGCAGAGGAAAAAGGAGAGAGCGAGGGGCAAGAGGGAGGGAGAAGGGACCGACGGCGAAGAAGACTCAGCAGGAGGGGGAGCCCTAGTGGGCCCTGGAAACGACAGGGCCGTTTTTGTTACCAGTTCCGTTTTGCCGTTTTGTGGCCGGTTCGGGCGCCGTTTTTGTACCGCTTCCGTCGCCGTTCTTTTACGGGTTCCCGCTTCGGTTCCAATCCTGGAGCCGCGTTTGTTGCCGTTTCCGGTCGCTGTCTTTTCGCCGTTCCCATTTTCAAGGGGCGCTTTTTCGGAAACGGTGGAAAAACTGCCTTGCTGTTTCCGGGGCCCACTAAGGGGGGAGCTGAGAGGAGCTGTAAGATTGGCCAGCGGAAGGGAGGGCTTCCAAACACGCGGACGGGCGGACAAACCTCCCTTCAGTAGCCCTTCCCTTGGTGACAACGGCCTGGGACCGAAACCGACGGACCTGGCCCCGCAGAAAGGACGGCCGCGACGCCCTCTCGCGAACCGAAAACGGCCAATTCCTGAATCGACGTGCCAGGGTAGGAGGTCTGTCCACCCCCGAAGCAGGGGGGGGAGCTGAGAGGAGCTTTCCCCAGACCGACCGACGAAGTGTTTTTTTCAATACGGGGTCCCCGGAAGTCTCGCCCCTTTCACCAGGACCGGTTTTTCATCCTGAGTCGTTTTTTGACGGTCCCGGGGCCCGGCGAGGGCCCCTGAAGCCCCAAAAATGCGAAAAACGTCCGTCTTGATTTTTTCAATACGTTGGTGGATCTCTGGGAGGGGGGGAGCTGAGAGGAGCTCTAAGTTTGGCCGGCGGACGGGGAGGGCTTCCAAACGCGCGGGCGGGCGGACCCCGCCGGGCAGGTCGGGCGGGCGGGCCCATCACCGGGCGGGACCCGTTCATTGGGCGGAGCCTCGCGAGTGGCTCGGGCGGGGGCATGGGTGCGGGCGTGCCTCCAACAGGCGAGCGGTGGACAAACCTCCCTTTAGTATTAAGTCGGGCCTGTCCCTCTACAGGGGGAATTTTCGCCGAAAAATAAATAAAATCAAACATTGTCTGAAAAAAGTCCGAAAATAGTCTGGGGACTATTTTTTGAGTATTGTTTGACCATTTTGGGTGTGTTTGGGGTACTCTTTATTTGTCGTCGAAAATCCCCCGGTAGGGGGACAGGCCCGACCTGATTTTAGTAAACCTCCCCTTGGTGACAACGGCCTGGGACCGAAACCGACGGACCTGGCCCCGCAGAAAGGACGGCCGCGACGCCCTCTCGCGAACCGAAAACGGCCAATTCCTGAATCGACGTGCCAGGGTAGGAGGTCTGTCCACCCCCGAAGCAGGAGGGGGAGCTGAGAGGAGCGTTCCCCAGACCGACCGACGAAGTCTTTTTTTCAATACGGGGTCCCCGGAAGTTTCGCCCCTTTCACCAGGACCGGTTTTTCATCCTGAGTCGTTTTTTGACGGTCCCGGGGCCCGGCGAGGGCCCCTGAAGCCCCAAAAATTGACGGCCGCGACGCCCGGCGAGTCGTTTTTTGACGGCCGCGACGCCCACGGCCAATTCCTGAATCGACGTGCCAGGGCAGGAGGTCTGTCCGCCCCCGAAACCGGCGAGCGGGGAGGACCCCCGCGGGCGCGTCGGGCGGGCGGGCTCTGACTGCCTGGCCGGGCGGGCGGGCTGCCACGGGCGGGTCGGGCGGGTCGGGGCGTCGCAGCTGCTTGTGCGCGTGCGAAGCACGTCTCGGGCGAGAGCGCGAAGCCGGAGTAAGTTCTGGGGTCTCGCGCGAGAGCGCGACCCCTGTGAAGGGGCCCAAGGACGCACAAAGAAATACACACAAATAAAATACTCCCCATATGTTCCATATTTTCTGGGTTTCTGTCTTCCCCCTCACTTCCCATATTTTCCTATATTTTCTGGGGGATCGAGGATTAATTGTGTCTGTGTGTTTTCTTCCCTCCTGACCCTGTGTGAATTGCGCAGAAGTCCACAGCTAGAGCGCGATTTGTTTGAATCGGCTGCGAAGGCGCATCGAGCGCCTCCCCTGTTGCCGCAGATCGAGGGCCAGGGGCGAAGCTTGCGCAGGAAGGCTGAATTACCCTCACAAGCGACACGGTGGGGGCACGGGGTGGGAGCCCTTCCGTCGAACAAACAATATTGGCACCAGTGAGGGTGCATCAACAATGTTTATTGAATCGCTTCGCTTATTCCGCCGGCTCTGGAGCGCTATTTTGGGCCTCTCGGGGCCGTCTTGGGGGCCTCTTGGGGGCTTCTTGGGAGCGTCTTGGGGCTCCTTGGCGGCGTCTTGGGCTCCCCTGGGGCCTCTTGGGGGGCTCTTGGGGGCCCCTTGGGGCGGGAGGGGGGGTAGTCGATTGCAGCCCCCCCCCCTCGGAGGCCACGATCCTCGTGAGGGGTGGCGAAAAATAGCCTCCCCCCTGGGGATCGCCCAGGACCCAGCCGGGACCCGGCCGGGACATTCTACAAAAATAGAAATTCAACCATCATCTCACGACCATTTGATCCAGGAGGCGGGTTCGAACTCGTGCGCTTCTCCCTCGCCCCGGGAGCCGCCCTGTCAGTCTATGCACGCACCCTTCTCTGGAGAGGCAGTCTTACACTCCAGCTCTGTGGCAAACCCCGACATGAACAATCGAACGCGTCGCATGGGCACAACCCTGCGGGCGGAGCCTGACAACCGAGTCTGGCGGGCGGTCTCTATATGGGCGGGTCGGGCAGGCGTGCCCTAACCGGCAGGTCGGGCGGGCAGGTCATTGGAGCGAATTTTGCAACTTGCGAAGAAGCCTCAGACGAGAGCACGAGTCCTAACTAAACTACAGCAACGCCCGTACGAGAGCTAGAAAAAGAGAGAGAGAGAGAGCGATTTCTGGGCGTCGAGAGCGCAACGCCTGAACAAGACAGGTTGCCATCCCGACGCGAAGCCGATCGAACGAGGCAGAACAGTGCACCCCATGATCCTCGCATCATCCCCAGCCTGCGTATCACCCGAAGGGTGAGCTTCTGGGTGCCTTTTTGGTCTGGGCTTGAGCTGAACAGTGTTCTCTGTTTTCCCTCTGTGTCCGTTTCCCCTCGCTCTGTCTTCGTTCCGCCCTTGCTGCAGAGCGCAGTCGGAAAGAAGAGCGGTCCACGATATCGCCGAAACACCGTTCGGCCCGAGCCCTGCTTCTGGTGGTGAACCCGTGGAGGACGAGCCCTGATCCTCAGGCCTGCACCAGGAGAGGCGGAAGCAGAGGCTACTCGGAGGCGTTTCCAAAGTCAGGGCCCCGTAAACCCAGACACGCCAGACCCGGACACCCCACATCCATTACGACCTGTTTTTCCAGACGGCGGTACGAACAGAATACCGCTCTGCCGCACTTCCAGACTGAACCCGGACGCAGGCCCTGCAGGCCTGCAAGACCACCCCAAACCCCGGAGACGGACCCGAATCCTGCACGGGCGCTGGACAACGTGACTTTGCAGGACAGGGCGTCGCTTCCTTCGTTTCCCTCGGGTCGGGCGAAAGGGGGGATAGCAAAGGGGGGGGATTTGAGAATCAGCTCACGCAGCTGATTCTCCCGGCGCCTCCCGGCGCCGGGAGGCGCCCCTGCATCGAGGGATGGGCCCCTCGGTCGGGCCGAAACCGGCTGCATGCAGCAGATGTCGTAGCCCCCCTTTCCCAAACCCCCCTTTCGCCCGACGATGAAGGGGCACCAGGAAACACAAATAAATACACACAAATAAAAATACCCACCATATTTTCTTATGTTTTCCAGGCTTTTGTCTTCGCCACCACCTCCCATATTTTCCCATATTTTCCTGGGACTCGACGATTAATTGTGTCTGTGTGCTTTTTTTCCTCTTGAGACGACCCGAGATCCCCGTGTTCTGGTTTACACCTGTGCCCCGGTCCTCCGGGGGCCTGCCAGAAGCCCCTCTGGGCCCACCGCGCCGGAGCTCCTCCCGGAGCTCGGCGTGGGCCCTCCCTGGGCCCGCTCGCGGCGCCGCCTGGCGCTCCCCTCGGGGCCCCCCGCACTCTCGGGGCCTCTCAATTGAGGGGCCCATGGGGGCAGCCGGGCGCTCCCCGGGGAACCTCCTGAGGGTCTGCGGACTGCGCCGAGTTCCTCCTCCTCCTCCTCCACCTCCTCCTCCTCCTCCTCCACCTCCACCTCCACCTCCTCCTCCACCTCCTCCTCCTCCTCCTCCTCCTCCTCCTCCTCCTCCTCCTCCTCCTTCGGCGACGGCGAACCTCTTGGACCGCCGGAGGCGGTCCGCAGACTCCGAGGGCGACGCTGCTCGGATCGGGCAGGGAAGAGAGCGGGTTCGAGCGACTCTCCGAGGCGCTTCGGCCCCGCTTTTGGCGGGCCTCTTTTTAATGCGGGCGCGGCCGGCGAGTCTGTTAGCGTGGTCACAAAGGAGGCTCCGCAGCTCAAAGCAGCTGTGTCGCCTGATCCTGGGGCGGATGCCCCGGCCGCGACGCACGCGCGGCTTCTTTGCGTACAAGAGGAGCAACCAGCAGTTACAACTAAAACCAGGGATCCCAAGCCCCATCGAGATTCAAGTCCCTTTACGTCCAAACCAAGCGTCCGGACTAAAATCACACTGCAGTGTACATGGTGCCCTCCAGGCTGCAAGCGATCAAAGTGTACGCCGCAGGCGCGTTTCTTGTTGTTCGCGCAATCTCGTCGGCGAATGCGTGCTCTGCGCTGGCATTCAGCCATCGCACACGTCGGTCCCGTCACGCGCAAACATCACCCTGCGCGCACAACCGTCGCAATGCGATACTTTGGGCCCTCAGATGATCACGCAACACCAGTCAATGCAGGGGCCACCTACATTCAACAGTTCGAGATGCGGTGCACAAAACGTGAAGCGTGATTGAAGTGCCTCATGCGGACGCACCGCGCAGCAATCACGCGCCGTAGCTCCGCATAAAGATGCGGACAAAAAAAATGAAAAGGCAGACCGAAAGGTCACGTCGACGAGGAGTGCGAGAAGCACGGTGCCTCTGGCCAGGGGCCGACCCAGAGTGGGCGGGGCGTATGTAAGACTGTAGGGGATCTCGGCGTCGCCAAGGTTAGGTCGGGCATGTCCCCCTACAGGCGGACTTTGGGCGAAAAAAATAACATAGTCGAAACATACCCCAACATGGTCAAAAATATCAAACCAACAAAAAAACGTCCCCATACTATGTTTTAGTCATTGCCCCTGTAGAGGGACAGGCCCGACTTAACGCTACCTGAACGCTCGCTGGCCCGCGAGGCGGCGGGCGGTCAGTCCCAGGTTGCCTCTGCCAGCCTGCCGATCTGAAAGTCGGCGACCACGCCCTCGGTGCGGCTCCCAGCCGAACGCTCACTGTACTCCTGAAGGGGCCCAAGGACACACAAATAAATACACACTAATAAACATATTCCCCTTAGTGTCCCATATTTTCTGGGTTTTTGTCTTCCCCCCAATCCCAATATTTTCCTATATTGTCCTGGGAACCGCCGATTAATTGTGTCTGTGTGTTTCTTTTCCTCCTGAACTCCTCCCCTGCGAGGCCCATCGGCTCCTGCGTGGGGCACACGCACATCAGACCTCTCCCCTCGAGCCCTCCGATGAGGGCGGCGGCCGCGTCGGTGTCGCTCATCGACCCGCCCAGCGTGCGCTTCGCCTTGATCTTCTCCCAGCGGGTCTTCCAGGCCTTCTTCGTCTTGGGGCCCCCCTTGTTGTCCAGCCGGTCCCTGTGGCGCTGGCACTCTGGCGTCACTTCCTCCAAGGACTCAGGATGAGGATCGAACCCCAGGAGCCCGCCGATATCCACACGTCCGAGCGCTCCCAACTTCCGCACTGCCACGTTGAGGTGCTCCTGCTCTGGCAATTCCTGGCGGACGACAATCATCGCTGCCTCGTTGATTTGTTTCGAGACCATCTGGATCTGGACAACGAACTGCCCAGCTACGTTCAGGGCTCCTGCCTTCTCCTTGTTGCTGTGCCACAGCGTCTTCGACAAGGTCACCTTGAAGTGCCTCTGCTTCGGGAGCCCAGACAAGACGTAATCCCCGTCCGCCCAGTCCGTGATGTTCGTCCACGGCACCTCTGATACGTTTCCAAAAGAACGCCAGCGACAGGGATTTCTGAGGCCGCGGCGTTGCATCTCGGATTGACTTCGAGAAGTGCGAGTCACAGCGTCATGCGGCGACCCTGTGGGCGAAGTCGAGCGGACGTGAGAAATCGGCATCGCCAGTCTCACAAGCCCGTTCCCCTGGGGTCCCTTTTGTTGGGAGCGGCCAAGAGGGGGGTGTCCAAGAGGGGGGGTGCAAATCATGGCCAGCGGCAAGTGCGCGGCCAAGCGGGGAGGCCAGGGACGCAATGAAATAAGCAGAGTCGCCATGAGATCTGAGGAAAAATCATAGCCCACGCCATGAAATCCACCCCCCCCCTAGTCATCACCCCCCTCGTTGCCGCCCCCGAGTTTGGAACGGCGCCAACCTCGCCCGGGCCCACGCTGTGGTTCAGCACGCGCAGGCTCAGGAGCCTGTTTACCAGCCTGGAACATGTCCCTATCCCTAAGCTGGGCGTCGCCTCATCACAATGTCAATCTTAGGGATTCCCTTCGTTTTTCAGGGCGCATCCCTGAGATTGTCATTGCCTTTTGGCGTGTCAATCTTAGGCATAGGGATACGTTCGAGGCTGGTGACCTGTCGGCCTCGCCCCGCGAGTGCGACCTGACGTGCGAGCGCATCTGCACCGACGCGCTCCCCAGCCACGAGCCGCCGAGCTCCACCTCTAAGGTCGGGCATGCCCCCCTGCAGGCGGACTGTCGACGAAGAGCCAAAGACACTCCGGCAATGCCCCGACACTGTCAACTATTTGGGGGCTATTTTTGAAACTATTTTTGAGACTATTTTTGAGACTATTTGGGATAGCAAAGGGGGGGGTGAGAATCAGCTCACGTAGCTGATTTTCCCGGCGCCTCCCGGCGCCGGAGGCGGCTATGTATCGAGGAACGGGCCCCTCGGTGAGGCCGAAACCAGCTGCACGCCGCAGATTTCGTACCCCCCCCTTTCCCAATCCCCCCCCCTTCGCCCGGCCCGATTGCCGACGAAGAGTTACAAAAGACTCCAGCAATGCCCCGACACCGTCGAAATACACTATACACGTCAGTCGGAAAAAGTAGGTAGAAACATGAAGTAGGAAGGCGGATCTAGTAGATTAGGTCCAGGTCCTCCCAGAGAGCAACAAAACACAGCAAAAGCACGCCGATTCTTGACGTAGGAAGGCGCTTGAAGCAGATTAGGACTTGGGAATCAAAAAAAGAAACTACTTTCAACGACCGATGCATAGACAAACCCTCCCCGGGCTACGTTTGAGACCAGTTTTGGCTCCTCCTCCTCCTGTCGAGGAGGAGGAGGAGGAGGAAAGGGACGAGGAGGAGGAGGAGGAGGAAAGGGACGAGGAGGAGGAGGAGGAGGAGGAGGAGGAGGAGGAAAGGGACGAGGAGGAGAAGGAGGAGGAGGAGGAGGAGACTATTTTTGACTCCTCCTCCTGTCGAGGGGCACGCCCGACGCAGCTCCACCTCCGTGATGTACGTGGTGCACGGCCTCCCGTGCTCGGGGCGCACGGTGGCCCGCAGCGCGAGCTCCGCGGGCAGGCCCGCGGCCTGCGGGATCCGCAGGAGGTCGAACTCGCCCCCGTGGTTGATGTCGAAGTGCTCGCCCTGCTCCTCCTCTCCCTCTCCTCCTCCTCCTCCTCCTCCTCCTCGTCCCTCTCCTCCTCCTCCTCCTCCTCCTCCTCCTCCTCCTCCTCCTCCTCCTCCTCCTCGTCCCTTTCCTCCCTCTCCTCCTCCTCCTCTCCTCCTCCTCCTCCTCCTCCTCGTCCCTTTCCTCCTCCTCCTCCTCCTCCTCCTCCCCTCCTCCTCTCATCATCTCATCATCATCATCATCATCATCATCATCATCATCATCATCATCATCATCATCATCATCATCATCATCATCATTAGCATCATCATCATCATCATCCTCGCACTTATCCCTATCCCTACAGTGGAGGCCAGTCCACAAGACACGTTCCACGAGAAGCCCAACCCTGAGACACCAGGACGTCCATGGATGTTTGGTGTGGGGAACGTCACGCTTTCCATCGCTGAACCATCGAAACCAAAGAAACCCAGGGCACCCTGAAGGCAAGCAGGGTGTTTCTTGGTATGGGCCTTCACCGTAAGATGGACACGCCAAAAAGCGATGACAATCTTAGGGACGCGCCCTCAAAAAATAGGGGAATCCCCAAGATTGGCATCGCGATGAGGCGATGCCCAGCTTAGGGATAGGAATATGTTGCAGGCTGGTAACCTGCAGGTTGACCAAGTGCGGGTCGCCCCTGGCCACCACCGTCGGGGAGGGCGTTGGCAGGGGGGACACGGGCGGGCCGACGCAGCACCCGGCCATCCCGAAGACCGCCCCGCTCGGCAGCTGCGTGAGGTTCCCACCGCAATCTTGGTCACACTTCTCGCCCGAGACGCACTGGAAAGACCCGCACCCACACGGGTAGCTGGAGCTGAGATCGATGCCGTTGACCCCGGTGCAGGCAGACATCATGGCGTCGTACTTCCTGAACACGCCGTTCGTGCCGTGGTCGAGCCCGAAGAAAGGGCCCCTCTTCCTGAGCAAGGCCTCCTGGCGTTCCGTCCGCCGCTCGTCATCGCCGAAGCCGACCTTCTCTGTGATGACGAACCGCTCGAAGTAGCCAGGGTTGCGCGACGAGATCGTGACCCCGTCGCCGACCATCAGCACAATGCCGCTCTCGTCCGTGTCCTTGCTGATGGGCACCTCCCGAGCGCCAAGCTCCAGGGGCCCGGTGAGGTAGGCCCCCCCGATGCAGCTGTCGAACTCGCCGGCGTCGAACTTGCCCTCGGGGCACTCCGTGCAGCTCTCCGAGCGGCGGCGCCTGGTCTCGCCCGTGGTGCACTCCGCGCACACGCTCGTGCCCTCGGTGAAGAAGTAGCCGTAGCCGCACTCGGCGGGGCCCGTGATGGGGAAGCCGGGCAGCCCGGCGGAGCGCGGCGACAGCGCGCACTCCGTCTGGTTCACGCAGCCGTCCCCGTCCGCGTCCATCTCGAGGAAGTGCCCGGCGAACGCCGCGACGGCGTTGACTTCCGCCTCCAGGAGGCAGCCGTCTCCGTCGAGGTCGACGTAGGGGAAGACGCCGCACGAGTCCTCGCACGGGCACGGCTTCCCAGGCTCCAGCGTGGGGAGCGGAGTCGGCATCACTGGAGCATACTCGATGCTGGCAGTTGCGCTGATGACTCCACTGTCGCAAGCGACTTTCCAGCTCGTGTTCCCAAGGGGGATGCCCCGCAGCTCAGCCGAGTTGAGGTACCCAAAGAAGGTGCAATTGCCATCACCATCCAAGTCCATGGTGGATGTCATGCTCGGCGCATCGTTGTCCAAAATCCATCGGGGTCGTTGGTCTGCGGCTGGACGTTCGTACCCATCACAAGACACATCCCAATAGAGATACGTTCCATCAACGTTACTGTAGACCGGCGCCCCAGTCACGCTCGTGCCCAGCAGACTAAAATAATTGCTGCCTATGGAAGCAGTCTCGCACGGCCAATCCACGGTCAGCCCTTGCGGTACCGCGCACGAATCCATCGAGCAAATCTCGCTGGTCTCGCATGTTGCAATTCCGCACAAGCAGGGGTAGGCCGTGCTGGGAGACGACCCGTCCGTGACATCGCAGACTCCCGTTGTCGGCGAAGGGGTTGGGATCACAGTTGCCAAGTTATTGAAGTTGACCTGGATGGCTCCGTATGGAACTGGATTGGTACAAGTAGTTCCTTCATCATGCCCGTCCGTATCGTCGCAAATCGCGTCATAAAGATTGCAATGACCGTTCCAAATAGACTGCCAAGGATGGAGACCGAATGACCGGCATCCTGGGACGCGAAGGCACTCCTCTGCGCAAAGATCCAAGGTCGTATACTGATCCGGGAACTCTTTGAGATATCCTCCGCAATTGCAATTGGAACCACTTCTCACGAACCCCGGATATGTCGCAGTGAGCAATTCATCCACGTGGACTTCTGTGGGCATCGGAGTTCCCAATCGGAGTGCTGTCGGCAACGGAGTTCCCAAATGTGCTGGGAGCCGATCATCTGGCTTCTGCGTGGAGCAGGGCTCAGGACACACGTGCGCGAGCCTGGGCTGCCCATGCAAAAACCTCTGAAAGTCCTCGAAGCTCGAGCCCCTTGTCAACGGAACGTACCAATCTGGGTGCTGCGAGATACCTGTCTGCATCGCCCACACCACCTTCTCGTAGCACGGGTCGCTCTCAGCAACGGTGCGGCAAGCCTGGGAGGGGGCAGGCGCGGTCGCCGACTTATCCTGCGAGCAGGGCTCAGGGCACAAGTGCGCGAGCTCGTTGGGCTGCCCGTGTAAAAACCTCTGGAAGTCCTCGAAGCTCGAGTTCCTTGTCAATGGAACGAACAAATCTGGGTGCTGCGAGATACCTGTCTGCATCGCCCACACCACCCTCTCGTAGCACGAGTCGCCCTCAGCAGCGGTGCGGCAAGCCTGGGAGGGGGCAGGCGCGGTCGCCGACCTCTCCGCTGGTAGTAGTACGCTCGAATGCTGTTGCGAGCAGGGCTCAGGGCACACGTGCGCAAGATTGGGCTGTCCGTGTAAAAACCTTTGGAAGTCCTCGAAGCTCGAGTCCCTTGTCAACGGAACGTACCAATCTGGGTGCTGCGAGATACCTGTCTGCATCGCCCACACCACCTTCTCGTAGCACGGGTCGCTCTCAGCAGCGGTACGGCAAGCCTGGGAGGAGACAGGCGCGGTCGCCGACTTCTCCGCTGGTAACATTGCGCTCGAATGCTGTTGCGAGCAGGGCTCAGGGCACAAGTGCGCGAGCCTGGGCTGTCCGTGCAAAAACCTTTGGAAGTCCTCGAAGCTCGAGTTCCTTGTCAACGGAACGTACCAATCTGGGTGCTGCGAGATACCTGTCTGCATCGCCCACACCACCTTCTCGTAGCACGGGTCGCTCTCAGCAACGGTCCGGCAAGCCTGGGAAGGGGCAGGCGCGGTCGCCGACTTTTCCGCTGGTGACATTGCGCTCGAATGCTGTTGCGAGCAGGGCTCAGGGCACACGTGCGCGAGCTCGTTGGCCTGCCCGTGTAAAAACCTCTGGAAGTCCTCGAAGCTCGAGTTCCTTGTCAATGGAACGAACAAATCTGGGCGTTGCGAGATACCTGTCTGCATCGCCCACACCACCCTCTCGTAGCACGGGTCGCCCTGAGCAACGGTACGGCAAGCTTGAGAGGGGGCAGGCGCGGTCGCCGACCTCTCCGCTGGTAGTAGTACACTCGAATGCTGTTGCGAGCAGGGCTCAGGGCACACGTGCGCAAGATTGGGCTGTCCGTGTAAAAACCTTTGGAAGTCCTCGAAGCTCGAGTCCCTTGTCAACGGAACGTACCAATCTGGGTGCTGCGAGATACCTGTCTGCATCGCCCACACCACCTTCTCGTAGCACGGGTCGCTCTCAGCAGCGGTACGGCAAGCCTGGGAGGAGACAGGCGCGGCCGCCGACTTCTCCGCTGGTAACATTGCGCTCGAATGCTGTTGCGAGCAGGGCTCAGGGCACAAGTGCGCGAGCCTGGGCTGTCCGTGCAAAAACCTTTGGAAGTCCTCGAAGCTCGAGTTCCTTGTCAACGGAACGTACCAATCTGGGTGCTGCGAGATACCTGTCTGCATCGCCCACACCACCTTCTCGTAGCACGGGTCGCTCTCAGCAGCGGTACGGCAAGCCTGGGAGGGGACAGGCGCGGTCGCCGACTTCTCCGCTGGTAACATTGCGCTCGAATGCTGTTGCGAGCAGGGCTCAGGGCACACGTTCGCGAGCCTGGGCTGTCCGTGCAGAAACCTCTGGAAATCCTCGAAGCTCGAGTCCCTTGTCAACGGAACGTACCAATCTGGGTGTTGCGAGATACCTGTCTGCATCGCCCACACCACCTTCTCGTAGCACGGGTCGCCTTGGAAAGAGGTCTGGCAACCTGGCGTCGGCTGCTGGATCTGCCCATCATGGTGCGACCCGTCCAACCAAAACTGCATCAGTTGTAAATCGGCGGATGCGCATAGAGAGAACCCGAACCCGATCATAATGAAGCGCGCCATCGTATGAAGTAGCATTGCGAAAAGACCGCCTGCAGAAGGTTCGGTTGACAATGCGCCGAAAACGGCTTGAGCCAACATGGTTACGGATCCTCTTGGTGGGCCTCTTGGGGGCATATGTGGGGTCTCTTCTGGGCCCCTTGGGATGCCCTGAGCAGCTCTTCATGGGCTACAGCCGAAAATCTGGCTAAGAAAAATAGAATTCAAGAAATCTGGGCCAACGTCCCAAACGCTCCTCCAAAATAGTGTCTTACGTCGCGGCGCGGCAGATGCCATCCGCTCTCGCGAGTAGCAGCACCGGCTTACGAAGTCGCGAGTTGGCCGCGTGCAGGTGGAGGGCAACGAGGAGAGAGGACGGCCGCAACGAGGGGACAGGAGCGCGGGGGCACTCTCACGCAGCGGGGAGCGCGCGGGGGCGGCCAGGCTGAATGGCAGCCCCATCCGTTCCTTACACCAAGCCTGGGCCAATGTCTGTCGTTGACGCTGGAGGGGAAACGGTGCTCAAGAACCCGGGCCAACTTTCCGTCAAGCTGGTTGAGAAACGCCGGCCCAGCTTTTCGGGCGACATCCTCTGAATATGATGCTCGACTGTATGGCAGGCCACTAAGCCTTCTGGGGCCATCTCTTCTCATTCCTCTTCCTCTTTCTTCATCCGACCCCCTCCTCCATCCCCCTCTGACTTCTCCTCCTCCATCCTTCTCCCTCCGCTTCTTCATCCTCCTCCCACCGTCTCCACTTCCCGCTCAACGTATCTGACGCCCGATATGCTTCGGTTCATGGTGTAACTGCTACGAAGATGTTCTTGCATCCTCGGCCGAACAGACAGCTCCCAGTGGCGCGCAGCGTGGCACGTAATTCTGCGACGCGGGCCAGGGGAGAGGGCATGCGGGGATGGCGAAAGTCAAGAAGGCAGGGCAATCAAGCCGCGCGGCTCAATCTTACAGGTTCTCCAACTGTTGCATGATGTCCTGTTCCGACGCCGAGGACGTAGCCTCCAGCACAGCATCCAGGCTCGCAAACGACGCCTCCACAAAGGCCTTCAGCTTGGCAAAGTCGGAAATCATAAAGGCGAGACCCCGGCTGCTAATCCTGCGGGAACTTCTGTTGCAAGCAAGCGCGGTTGCCCGGAAATTCATCCCCAAAAAAGGAACAGCAGCAAAAAGCACGAAACAGCAATTCCAGCAACATGATGATCACATGTTTTTGGAATCATTGATACAAAAAGCGTATGCTGTTAAGGGCCTCGCTACTCTCCACAGGGAAACACACTTCGAAACGAAATCGCCTCCAATTTGAAGCGGCCGGGGGACCTGAACAGGCTGGGACCTCAGACAACGGGCTACTCGGCGGAGAAGAACCCGCATCCGCTGAAAATCGGTCCCCGCGGATCTCCCCCGAGGTCCAACTCGTGCAGTTGCTCACACGGGCCTCGCTGCGACTCTCCACCAGGAGAGCCCCTTCGAGGCGACATCGCCTCCGAGGTCCTCTCCAGGCTCGCCCTGGCGATGGCGGCGCCCACGCCCAGGCCGACCACGGTCACGCTCTGTGCCTCCAGGCGGCGGAAGGCCTCCTCTGGGAGGACACGTGCGAACCCTACCCCACCACCTCGCATTTTCTCAGAGGGGCGGGCTCACTTCGTTCAGGACCTCCCGAGAGAAGTGAGCCCCCACGATTTGGGGTGGGGTGGGGTTCACTTCGTTCGGGACCTCCCGAGCGCAGTGAACCCCACTTCTCCCAGTCGAGATCGTAGGGCGGTGGGGTAGTGATAAGAGATACAAGTACTCGAACCCTGGGGGAGGGGACCTGAGTCAGGAGCGCCAACAGCAGTAGGGATAGGGGGCCTCTTCCGCAGATGCCTCAAGCCAGACCGCCCAGATGCATTATCCCTACTGCGATTGGGGAACAAAAAGTGACATAAACATAAAACTCGGAGGTCCGCGCGAATTTCTCGGATCGGCGCTGGACCCCCTCCCTGGCGCGCGGAGCGCGCCAGGGGCGGCGCCGGAGGCGCCGCCAGAGGGGTCCAGCGCGGATCCGAGAAATCCGCGCGGACCTCCGAGTTCGTATGTTTATGCTACTTGTTGTTCCCCTGATGCGAAGACGTGGACCTCAGCGAGGCCACGTCTTCATCGCGTTATTGGATGTGGCCGCCGATCCTCCGCGCCCGCCACGTCCTCGGGCTCCCCGCAGATGACGTGGAGCACCACCCGCGGGGGCCCCTGGCCGTGCCCGGCCTCGGGCGC